ATGTTTGCCGCGATTTGAATGGTTGAGTTTCCTCGACTGCTACTTCGGCTTCTTCATTGGCAACGTTGGGATCCAGAGTCCAAGCAATAAAAAAAATTATGGAAACAAAACAACCCATGCCTCTAAATGCACCCCTCCAACCGAAGAGATCAACAAGTGCTTGACACACAGGACTCATGACAACTAATGAAGCCCCCGTACTCATTGTTATAAGGCCTGTAGCTAGCGATCGATGTTTGATGAAATATCGAGGGACGATCTCGAAGATTGAGATGTAAATAAGGCTTGAACCAAATCCAGACATTCCACCGTACGTAAGAAGCATTAGATAAAGATTGGGAACTAGTGAGGTCAGCATGAGTCCAGCTGCGCTCATAAGTGATCCACAAATAACCACTACACGTGCGCCAAAACAATCTGTCAGTATTCCAGCAACAGGACCGAAGAGGCCAGTGGCTGCAATGGCTAATGATCCTACCCATGCTGAAATAAGATATGTTTTATGCACTGGACCACCACGTGAAATGCACGAGGGAAGAATTTAACTTTTCATAATCAGGCTGCCTTTGTCAATTCATTCCCTCGGCCACAAACAAGCAAGTTTTGGCTTTTTATCTTCTTGGGAAATTTGTGAATGCTCTCAAAAGGGCCTCGTTGCATGGGGATGGTTCATGGACGGGGATGGTGAAAAGGAAAAATGTTTACGGTTAACTCTCTTTTACGACTAACGGTTAAAATTTTTCGTTTGCAGTTTTACAGCTAACGGTCAACCTTACTGAGACCCTCTCAAAAAATTAATATGCTTACTTAACAATTTTTTTTTTGCGTTTGGCTTATCAAACGCCTGAATTACATCAATTACCGTAAAAAAAAATCCAACACCCCTCTGTGAGTTTGAAGATTTCAACCTTTAGGAGGGGATTTCAGGGCAAACTCAGGAGGACCCAAAAGGCAGGTCACCACACCTTAATGAATGTTGTGTAGAGCGTATGTTTCTTCCGATAAAAAGTTGCAATATTTAAACCTTTCAAGTACATAACGGTCCGGGAAGGGGTGTGAGAGAAGAGGAGCTCATCAGTAACTCGAAGCTCCGACGGAGAAGCCTATCAAAGAGCATGTGGAGAGCGCATGAGAGACCCAGTTCTCACCGGAGCGTTTTATGGTTTTATACTCAGTCCTAAACTCGAAGCGCATCAACTATGTATCCACCCTTCGCGGTTCCCAATTTTAACCCTTAACTCAGGATTCAATATCAGCCTTATTGAGCCCAATGAGCTTCCTTGATAAGGAACAGCTTTCTCCTAGTTCACTGTATCAACTAGGGCCTCTTTTTCAATTTTAGTGGTTCACCCTTCGCTAGGTCGTGGCGTGGGGGAAGGGGGGGGGGCCTCCAGCTCCGGGCGCTTTTTCCCTTTGTACGACTCAGTCAATGTGTATTAGAGGAAAAGTACTCATGAAAGCTGACCCTATATACTCACCGGTATTTGATTTTCCTTCGTTAAACTCGTCGAGGAGAAAAGGAAATATAATACCAAAGCAGTACGAACACCCTAAAACGATGATCAAAGAAACCACTCCAACTACACACACAATCCAAGACCAGTATGTATCTGGTTGACGTGATTTTCTTTCATTCTCCGTCCTTGTTTCTTTCACAGTCTCTTTGACACGAAAGCCGGAGACTGAGGCTTCTACTTTCATTTGTATAGTATCCGTCTGGAAGCTGTGTATGAAATAAATGTTTCCATTTAATTGATTGAGAGTGTATTGAAAGGAGAATTAATTAATATCAATTGCAGACTATGTGCTGTAATAATTTAGGTTCAATCCAGGTGATTCAATTCGTCCATGTTCGTTCTCTAGTAATCATTGAGAATGCAGGTGCACCTTAAGTATCCCAATATTACTCAGAAATGTCTTTTCAACCGGTTCGAACACCTTTGGTAAATTCAAGAACACCTACAGCCCCTTTAAGCAGATTGGGGACAAGGTGGAAGAACAAAAAAGGCCACGTACGAATGTGTTACTTTTCCCCAGTCTTACTCTGTTACTCATCACGTCCTTAATTAGAGACGCACGTGGACACGTCTACGAACTGAAATGTACTAAACTTGATTTACAGCATTATCCAAGTTAATAATCCGGCATCGACTCGGTAATAATTAATATCACAGCTTAGTTAAAGTTTGGCAACGGCAGCCGCAGCATTGTGAAAACGAAACTTGAAATATAGTTTATTTTATTTATGTTTTTAGAGGTGCTTGTGTCAATAGGCGCGGCGTCTATCTTCGCGTTTTTACCAGTTGGCGAGTGCTTTTGTCGAAGTTACAAATCGACGTTTTAACGTTGGAACTCGTGTAGTCAGCTGGAGAGCCCAGGACACACTTGCTGCCGAATCTTTTTTGAAACAATCCTAACTGCCTTAAATGAGGCGGAGAAATCTCTTAAGGCTAAAAAGTTAACACGATAAAGAATTCCCAACCCTGTTGAGTTAATCACATAGCTATTGGAGGTATTGATGGCAAAAATCATTGAGACGCATGCCTTGGTAGTGCTGTTTTAAGTTTAAACCACCGACGGCTTTTACTTAATTTCCAAATGATAATTCTGTTTAATGTACCTGTTTAAGGGTGTTCCAGTGGTCAATGAATGGAAAGCATTGTGTTCTTGTCACTTAAGCACCTGGTGTTTTTATGTAAATAAACGAATGTTATCGGTTAATTTGCCCCAAGTTTTTTTTAGGTAAAGTTTTCGGTAATGACAAGGAACTCGGTATTACTTCATTACTTGCCTCTGCATCTAAACTTGCAAGCTCCAAGCATTTATATCACCAATGAGGAGCTTTAGTTCCGACTTCCAGATGCCGACAACTGCCAGGAATTAAGATGTTTTTCCTTGGAGCTGACTGAAGATCTCCTGAATGCAACGTTTAGTTTGAATGCGAAAAACGAGAGCAAAATTTTGAAACCCTGCGTTCCTCTAAGCAGATATCTGGTTTGGCATACTTGGTGAATAAGATTATTGTCAGCCTACCTTACCTTTTTGGCCGCCCGAAAGGATGCCTTTATGATTACCACTAATTGTTTTGCGTATTTCTTTCGAATGGAAAATTTACAAGCATAATAATAAAAACACCTGTAGCTCCCGCTGACCAAATATCACACCTCGTTTTCTTGATTATCGATTTTAACTGACTGACTGAAATAGGACGAAGTGAAAAATTTTAAAGAGCACCGTTTTGCTTCTTCATTTCTAAACTTCTTTTCATTTTATTTTGTCTTCTTTTGCCAGTTATTCCGTTGACTTATTTATCAGAATGTTCTGCATCTTTCTGGAAGAAGAAGAAACATCAACCCCTTGAAATAGATCCCTCTTATCGCATACAAGCTAGAGATCAGGATAGGCCATTCATAGCGTGGTATGTCCTGTAGCTAATTTTTGACTTAGCACAATTAAAACCCGTCTAGATATCAGCATATTAAACTCATTAAGGTATGGAGTCTCAGGAAACTTCGTTGAGTCTAGAAGGAATTCAGAGTTTCAATACTAACAGTGTAGTATTGCAAATAACAGACTAGCAGTCAATCGGAAGGGGTATGTTTAACGCTATATATTTTTTTTTACTTTGTAGGTTTATTTTTATTGTTATTCATTTATTTCAGTTTGTAAACCTTTTTCACCGCCGTAAGGGGGAACCATGTGGAGTCGAACGAAAACCTGGACCATGTGGTTAACAAAAAAATTGAAGAATTCGTCGTTACTGCTGCTCGCTTTTTAAAGGTGCAGAATATCGTTTCCAGGCAACGGAAATGAGACGCTCCATTCCTCGGTAAACTTCGTCAACTCTCGGAGCGTGTCGGAATTTGACTACGTCATCTAGCGTACAATTCTTCGTGAACGAGCAGTGTATAAAATTTTAATTTGCTGCTGTCTTTGACGTTGTCGCTCTTTTCCACCATCTTGGCTTTGAGATATCAATTCAAACCATCCCAAGTAATCTACAAAGTTCAAGGTCTCTGGCAGATTTACAGATATAAACAAAAACCTTGAGAACAAATTTATTTCAGTATTTGTTGGAAATAACTCGTTGGACACAAGGATAACTCCGTCAAACGTCACCGAGCTTTTTGCCCTTCCGCCATATTGAGTTTGCAAGGAAATTTTTGACGTCGAAAGAATCTGCAAGTTGGGGCATTTTTCACCGCTTCTTATCTTCATGACTGCCTATCCAGAATGTCCGACAGGTTTGGGCTTAAAGTAAAGGAAAATGCTGGGAAGACGAAGTATTCTTCACTTAACTTAAATCAGACATACAAAGGAACTAAGGTTGAAACTAAAACATCCTCAGGTTTGTATTTCTTCGCTATCGTGGGGATTTTGCTATTTATTTTAAAGTGCTATCAGCCTCTAACATCCAAGTTGCGACATTGCATCGAAGTAAACCGTGAAAGGTTGTCTTTTTTACTTTGGTTTTGATCTGCGAGCCTTTCAAATGCGGCTTCCGGTTTTGTGGACGCTACGATGTTGCTCTCGTGTGGCGTAAGATCGGGTACATGAAAACTCATAAATTTTGTTTTGGTTCTAAGATGGACGCTATTTTTTCGCAGGGACCGCTCGCCATGGGCTACAGAGCCTTGGAAAAGTCGGTGCAAGTCGTCGAATTCCTCCTCCCGCTAATCTCCCTTCTTTAAAAAGCGAAAACTCCGGCAACGATCCTACAGTATCTTTAGTTCCTAGCGGAGGTGGAGGATGGGGCAGTGCGAAGGAGAAGCCTTCGGAAACTACGCCAGCAGCTGCATCTCAGGCAGCACCTCCGAGTTCAACGCCATCGCAAACAAATGCGCCATCTTCTCAGCAGCCGCTATTGCAGCCGCAGCGGCCTATACCACCGCCGTCTCATCCACAACCAGTTCAACCGCAATCGCAAAGTTCGGGGCAGACACAAAATCAACCAGCCAAACAGCAAGAATCTCAAGTAAAGACATGGGGCACTGTATCATCAAACGAGGCTGGTGGTCAAGGTAAGGAAAGAAGAAATAATTTTTGCTATCTGCGTGACTAACTGTCGTTGTTTAGCGAAAGAGTCGGGATTTTGACACACGCATTTCATCCTGTGGTAATTAAAAATATTTTACTTGTGCTTTTATGTTCTTCAAGTTTGTTAGACATGGTGTTTGATGGGAAGGTGAAATCTTTATCTTCGGAAAGTTTGTTATTACCTCTATAATGTCAAAACTAAGTTCCGTTCATGCTATACAGCTCAGTTTAGGCGTCGGGTAGCTGATTACGATAATCAAGTATTTATGATTAGTCGAACCTTTTGTTTTCCCCTAATAAGATACAGGTTTATCTTTGCACATATAGCGTTGTTGGATCTTGTGGTAACATAATTTTTTGAATAGTTAGAAATGTTATTTTGTTGCATGTTTTTATGCAATGTATATTTCCCTTGGCCATCAAAAGGATAAAATTCTGTGTAGATTCAAAGCCAAGATAGCAAATGACACAAGGTCGAAAATTTGCCGTGAAAATTCTATTATTGCTTTGACTCATCCAGTCTCACCTATGTAATTCTTGCATGAAACTAAAGACATATTCTTCAAAAGTGCACTACTTTCACAGGCTACTACAGTGCCGAAATTGAAAATCTTGTTTAAGAGAAAATTACTTAAGTTACAGACACCATAAGTTAAAAAATAGCAATTGGAAAACAGGTTTTTTCATCTGTGGTGACTGTCGAAGCTAACTTACTCAATGCAAGACACATAATATCAAGCATTAACTTGTTGTAATCTTGTAATATTTCAACCTGTAGGGAGGTCCTACTCTCACCAGGAGATGCCATATTTCAATCGGGAATTCCCAGTATTGGGTGGTGGAAACTCTGGGGAAAGGCCCCCGCTGCCCTCAGAAATAAAGGAACAACCTCCTACACAGTATGGTCAGAAACAAATAATGCGCAATACACGTAAGTGTAATTGAATCATTTTACTCTTCCATGAAAAATAGATTTACACTGCTTGTTTAACTTCTACAAGTAAGTATCATTTTCCTCTGATATATTCAAAATCATCAATATAACCTGGACATTTGCCTCCTCACTCTTGGCTCATGATTGTTATTAAGTGAAATCTACTGGCAAGTACAATCATCTCTCCTAGGAGCATGACTTATTGTAGCAAGACTTGAAGGGAAGTGTGGTGTACATAGAATTGAATATCTGTACCATTGGGCTCTTGCCAGTTGAAAGTAGTTGAAAATGTGATGTGTTTCATGGTATACTATACAGTAGTATAATGCACCACTATATTGCACCACAGTATTCTTCTGACATTTAAACTTGTCTGTTCTGGGACTAGAATTTATACAGCATAAACTTCTGTGGTCTACCATGATTTATTTAGTAAAGTATAAAAGCGTAACAAAGGTGTATTTTCACTATTTTATTTTAGACGAACCACCATGGATGGAGCGCAGTGGTCCAGGTAATGCACTCGTGTCATAATTTGTGTTTTCATAGCTTTTCCTGTGCATGTAGTTGCTATTCACTCAACTTTTATAATTTAGTAGCAAAGTGGATGAAAGTTTTTTTAAAAAAAAGATGTTCTTTTGACTGTTTCTAAACAATGAAGTTAATCTTGAGCTCAAATGAATAAATCAGTGTAAATTTAGAAGTTTTTACTTTTCCCAATCCAATTTTTCTAGAGAACCACACAAATGTTCTTTTCCACACTTTGTGAGAAGTCTTGCTCTAGGCATATGATTAATTTTTCCTTGTGAACTGATGAAATACAATCTAGGATGGTTACACATATCATCAATTTATGGGTTGAAGCATAAACCTAGAGTTCTGTGTTAAATACTTGTGGAACATTCAAAATGAATCCATTTATATCTCCGACATGACTAGGGCGTCATATTCCTCTGTCATCACAAATTACAGTACGCTATACTCCTTAATTTCTTTAATACATGTAAACAAAGCTTAATGGAATAAATGGATAAGAGGGCTTAACCCTTTAATTTTCAGAAATGATTAACCCTTCAACTCCCATAATTGACCAAGATCTAATTTTTTTCATAAAATATCGATACACTATTAAGCTGTAAAGTAATGGGCCAAAAAAAAAAAATCAACTCAGCAATTATTGTTTGATCCAAATAATAAATTACCCAAACTAACATCAAAAGGGCTGTATGGCAGATAGTAAGAATTTACCTATGTGATCTTGGGAGTGAATTGGTTAACTTATTATTTCTTGTTACAATATTGATAAGTAATCAGGTCATGAGAATAGCCAAATTTGTCGGTCATTGGATGTTGCCTCCATATACATGCAACTCTAAATCCCTTAACATACAGTATATTTACAAGGTAATGTGTATGAGAGATTTGATTGTGGGATTGAATGCAAGAGGACTGTTTAATGCATTGGTGTAAAGAGGAAGAAATACGATGCCACTCAGAAATTTAACAATCACCACCATGTTTTTATTACCAATGCAAGATTTTAAAGGCCCAAGTTTCCCAAAATCTTCTTGTGTTTCTGATGTGAAAGCAGTGTTTTCAAAAATCTTGTAACATGGTCATAACTGTGGAAGGAAACTAAACTTGTAGCAATGGTAATGTCATTATTTCTGTCAGGTCCTCCACCATCTGATTATGGAACAGCAAGAGAAAGAACAGATGCATATAATGGGGGACCAGGACATGGTGGAGGACATCAGTATAGACGACCACCAGACTACCCGGTAAGAAGTCTGCTTTACTGTTTATGTATTAAGCTCAGGATTTAATGCTCTTTGCACATACCACTTCAGTTTAAACTGCCTCTTGACATTCCTCAAAGTTTGACAGCTGGGTTACATAGGTCTGTTAGGTTTTGTGACAGAGAAATTATTGTACATCAGCAGCTATAGGGAAGTTGAATATGTCTTGAAACTTTACCTGAAAATCCTTAATACAACTTTTTCAAGTATCAAGTTGAGCATTTCAAGGTTTGTGCTTGTCTCTACCCCTTTTCTTTATCTGGAAGTACATTAAGGCTTTTTACCGCTATGAAGAAGCCTCTTGCTTAATGATAAAAGGTGATAGGGTTTAACTTAAATTGTATCTCTCCTTTCTTAATGCTTTATGGATGTGTAAGCTTTTTTTAAATTGAAATGTACTCAATAGAAAATTACACTTATTATATGTTACAGTATTTTAGTATCCCTAGCTTCCTTAAGTTTTAATTTTGGATATCTTTGGTTTTTTCTTTTAACATTTGTTTCTCAATTTTGAACAACTGGAAAACTGATACATTAATTGTATGTACATATACATCTCCTAAATGTTTTTGTCCATTTTAACTGTGAACTCCATCTGAACCACTGGATATACCATTTGCAACTCTGAAGCAATTTTTTTCTGCAGAGGGTCTAACTCTCGGGAATTCACTTGGAAAAATTTTGGGGGGATGTTGTGAAAAGGAAAAAAGGCATTCTCAGTAAATTTTTTTTTGTTGTTGTTTTTTTACTATGAAAACTACAAATGCTGTGACATTCTCGCTTGTTTTAAGCACCTTAGGAAGGTATGGGGGTATCTCTTGAGAGGCAATTGTGATTTACAAATCATTGTACTAGCACATATGGAATATCAGCTTGCTGTTTTAGAAAGTTTACCCAATTAACATGTACTGTATGTACTGGTATGTTTTTAAAGTGAAAATTGTTGGTCATGGAGTGCCCTCAAAGAGAAACAGGCATTACATTGTAGCTCACTGATTTAGTTTTGTTTGTGTCTGGTAGCATGGGTCACATGGGAGGAATGTTCCTCAGGGGCATCTCCACCATCATGGTAATGGACCACAAAGTCATGGACCAGGAAGGCATCCTCATGGGTATCCCCCAGATCATTTTTCTAGGTACTTTCTGTGTTATTTATGCAATTTTAGGCACTGTAACCCTTTATCTACTTCTTATCACTTCACCACATGGTCAATTTACTCACTAGAAGTGCCTCAACATGTTTCTTAGCTTTCAAACCCATAACACTTGTACTCAAGAGTTATCAGAGTACACAGTATCTACATAATGTCAATGCATAATTAATCAATAAACATAATTGTATTGAGTCAAATATTTTTTCATGTATGGGAATTTGTTTGAACATGCCAAAATCTTTTTATTGACTTGCAAATAAATATATGATCATCAGTGTGCAGTTCTCTCCAGATACCTTGATAGTTAAAAAAAAAAAAAAAAAAAAAAAGAACACACACAAGAGGTTGTGATTTTCATGCTACTATTGGCCAACCTCCATCTTAAATTACTTATGCTGTCTCGAAGTGTAACATCCAACCAGGTTCCAAATGTTCATCATATTTAATATCCAAATGGGTTCAAATTCTCAGAAAAATTTTGCAATGTGCCATGTAATCAATTTCAGTAAAAGGAAATATCAAGTTAAAACTTCACATGACAACACCTTAATGATTTTACAGGGGACCAGGCCAAAGACCCAGTGCCCCTTCAGGACCTAATTCTGCAGGTAAACTGGGAGACAAGACCCGAGGTGAAGGATATGGAAGGCCAAGTATCCTCAAACCAGAAGATATACAAGCAATGACTGACAATGATGAAGAGGAGGAGGGTGGATGGGCTGGTGCACAAGATGAAGTTGATTATGCAGCAAAATTGGATTTTGAGGACTTTGAAGATGATGATAAACCTTCACTAGAACAACCAGTGAAACCTGAAATAGAAACCCCAAGTGGTGAACCTGAAACAAGATGGCAAGGCAATGAAAGCAGACCTGTAAGTAAAGTCATTTGTCATGTTGTAGGTGAAAAATTTTCTTCAATTTTGGTACAGAAAAATAATTTTGATGCAGGCTTGGCAAATGTGTGAAGGGTTTTCTCTATCCTTTATGTGATATAGGGCTCAGAACTGTTGAATTGTAACAGTTAAAACTGTTTGTTATTATAATTTAGTGTTACTGTATTTGAGTGGGTGTGATTAAAGTTCTTAGAAAACAGCAGCTCTTGAGTGTAACTCAAATTAAACAGGAAAAACTCCATTTTTGCGTGAACTGTCAAAGTGTTTCACCCTTTCCTGTTTTGATCCTAGGCTAAGGGGATGGGACCACCTCCAACAAGACCTGCATGGACCGAATCATCAGGGCCAGTATACTCTGAGAACAGACAAATGCCCCCAAGTCCAGGAATGAGGCCATTTGATAGCAGAGGTTCTCCTCCTAATCCTGGTTGGCCGTACCCTCAGCATCTAGCCGGACAGCCAAGAGGGGGACACCCACCTGGACATCCACCTCCTTCCCTGGTTAGCTCTGATCAAGTGAAGCCAGCATCCAAGTCAGAAGAACCAGTGACAAATGATTGGCAGAAACGCAGAGTCAAACAACAAGAGGAAATGCGTGCTGCAGTAGAAAGGGCCAGGAAGAGGCGTGAGGAAGACGAAATGAGAAGGCAGGCTGAACAGAAAGCAGGAGCAACAGCTAAGTTAAAAGAACTGGAATTAAAAAGAGTCAGGAGGGAGAGTGCTAAAGAAGGAGACGATGCTTGGGCAGAGGAACTGGACTCAATTGAAAAAGATTCTTATGGTAAAGGGCCTTACCCTGAACAACGAATGCCAGAAACGCCCGAACGAGAGGTGGAACCACAGAATCTTGCACTTAACCAACAAGATGACTTGCATGGTCGAAGTGATTTTCCTGAGCATGTCAGTCATAGACAGAGAAATGACAGCGAGTCCAGTGATGCCTCAAGATCGAGTGCAAGGGGTGCTTCACGCCCTCATCATCATCCACCCCGGGACATCCCACCCCGTTTTCAACAGCAGCAACTTAGGCAGCAACACTTTCAGCAACAACAGCATTACCAGCAGCAGCAACCTTATCCACCACAACATCCATATCACCAGCAACAGATGGCTAGATCCCCACAACTCAGGGATTTTCCTGAAGGATCACTGTCAGTTGCCAATCATCCCATCGTTGATTCAGGTGGGGTAGCATTCTTCAATTAGTAACCTTCAAATGGTTTTGTAGGTTGTTTCAAGTTGAGACATTTGCTGTCTAAATTGAAAATGCTGACTCGTGATTCTGTGATTCTTACATTTGAAAAGGATAGGTGTAACAAGTTTGCGTTTCATTGTTTATGAATGAACATTTAACAATCGGCTAACGTCTCTACTCTTCACCATTTGCTTGGGAAGAGATAACACGACTAGAAGGATCAACTTAAAGACGTACATGTATACATACATACATACATACATACATACATAGATACGTTTATTGCAACTCCCAAGCTTGGTTTTTCAGTTACAAGGCCTAGGGGTACATTAAAATTAATGTAATATTATAGTAACATTGTATTGGCCTAAAAATATATATAAGAGAAAACTAAGGCTAGTACAATATAAATACAAAAGGCCAGTGCACGTTAAAAACACTAGTGAACTAAAACAAAAATTAGACGAGAATAGAAGATTGAAATGATTCATCTGTGTGTGACATTTCCACTAAGGAGCGCATTCAGTAGGCGGAGCCTAAAGGCGTTTACATTCTCAGCTGCTTTTAAGTCATTTGAGAGGTTATTCCACAATTTGCATCCGCGATACGTGCAATTTTAAGTTGATCGGGACTGTGAGGTACTACTTTATTAATGATTTTGTACTGTTTTTAGGCCCAGTGTCACCATCACAACCTACCAAACCCGATGTATCTGTAAAGAGGATAATGAAACGTTCCGATAGCAGCAGCACAGCTGGTGACGATATAGCAAGTGTCAAGTCTCTTGAAAGTGCAAGTGGTGAGCCAAGCAGAGAGGTGGAAAAGAAACCACATGCTGCTCCATCAGATAAGGCTATAAAGACAGACGCAAGGGAGGAGAAGACGAAAGAAGGGTCCTCAGAGGCAACGCGAAAAGAATCTAACAGGACGGATAGGAAACCAGATGACCAAGACTTGCCCGTGTTTGATGACAGTGGCAGTGGTGGTTCAGGCGATACAAGTCAGAAACGAACACCTGATTCTGTCCTACCGCAGGGTTCTGGAAAACAAGATCTGACCAACAAAGAAAACGATGTGTCCAAGGAAAGGGTGCATGATAAGCGTGAAAGGAAAGACGATGAGAGCACATCAAAAGCTGTTTCCGAGAAAGGCTCCCGATTTAGAGACAGACGAGACGAAAGGCGAAGTAGTTCAAAGCGTGATTCAAGAACACAGGATAACAGACGTAGTGATGATTCGAAAGACTCTGGAAAACGAAAGAGAGAGGACAGTGAAGACGCTGAACGCTTTACGGAGAGAAGGGGAAGATTCGCCGGCCGCGGTGGAGATCCAAAAAGGGAGCGATTTTCGGAATCTCATAGTCGCGGTAGAGTTAGTTTTCCAGTGCGGGGCCGGGGAATGGCTGGTACAGCTACGAGTTATCGAGGTCGTGGAAGAGGAGATAGAGGAAATAGAGATAACAGGGATTACAAGGAGCACAAACAGACGAGATCGCGTGAACCTAGACCTTCTTCAGCCTGGAAAACGACCAAGGATGAACAGAAACGGAACGAAGAAGACAAGGAAAATGTAGTGGCGAAAGAGAACGCTAACGCAATTGCCAGTGAGAGTGACAAAAAAGTAACTCGTGATTCTACCGAGGTAAAACAAGATAAGCGGATAGAAAGTGTCCCTTCAACAGATGAGAAAGAGGCTAACAAACAGGAAAAGAGAAATGAAGAGACAGTTACTGAGGTGAAGAAAAACAAAGAAGACGATTCTGTGATTCGTGAAAGCAAATTTGAGGAAGAAGTTAGGTTACCCAACAAGGACTTAGAAAAAGTAAAAGAATCAGATGATGTAAGTAAAAAACCTGAGAGCCCCAAAGATGTAAATAATTTGAAACCTAAAGCCCGTGGCGGTTTTGGAAGACCTCCACAATCTTCACAGGAGTTAAGAAATGTAAATAATCAGGACAGACGCGAAGGCGGCAAGAAGTTTATTGATAGGAGGCGACCGATACAGGAGGCTGGCAGAGATCGTAAGACAGATTCTGATGACAAACGCACGGGACGCAATTACAGCAGAGACAATACCAATCAAAGGCAAACTGGAAGGGACAACAGATATAGGGAAAGAGGTCAGGAAAGGGATCAGAAATTCCAGTATCAGCGCGACGAAAGAGACACTGGCAACAAGCGCTACTCTCAGGATGATAGGAAGAAGAGGTTTGACGACAAAGACGATGACCAGCAAAATTCCAGGCGTAAAGGGGATGAGAGGAACCAGAGGGGTGGCACGCGATCATATTCATCTCGTGGTCGTGTTAGTACAACCCCTGTGCGTACTAATATTAGGGGTGGTAGATCCAGTCAGCCAGTCGGAAGTGGACGTTTTGGAAACAACTACCGACGTGTAAAATCCTCAGAGGAGGAGCTATCTGATGATGACTACGAGAGTGATTCAAGTAGTTACACGACCGCTACATCTGCTTCTGAGGAAAGGAGGGATGAGAAACCCAGCAATGCAGATAATGAGAATGACGTAAAGAGAGAAAAAGAGAGTAGTTCAACTTTTGACAAATCGAGAGCTAGTTCACGATCGGCAAGATCTCCGATTAGGGGGAAGATGTCTTCACGAGCGGGAAGGCGAGGTACTGGTGGTGGGTTTGGAAGGACTAGGAGAGAAGTGGAGCGTCCACCTCGCTTTCAGAAACAACAAGAAAAGGAAAGAGCAAGCATGGGCAGAGGCGCACCTCAGGGTGTCAGAACGAATGAAAGTAGAGAAAGTGGACCCGGTAGAGGCAGGGGGAGAGGAAGAGGTAAAAGGGAACAACCTCAAAGAGATGAAGGTCCAGGTATACCGGTTACAGAGGACTGGGATGAAGAGCTTAATGAAGCTCAAAAAGGAACAGAGTCCTCAAAAAGTGATAAATCAGGAGGACGAAGAGAGTCTACTCCGAGAAGAGGATTCTCTGGCCCACGATCCTCTTCAGAAAGAGGAAGGAAAGATAAGAGCCGAGACGCTGGCGGAACACGCGGTAATTCATCTAGGCGAGAGCCTTTTTTAGCGGAAAGGCAGCAGGCAAAAGTTGATGGTTCTAAACTTGTCGGTGGGGAACCTCGAGGACCTTTGCCTGCTGCTAGAAATGGTTTTAGCAAAGATGGTAATCGGAGATCTGATATGCACAGCACTGGGCTGGATAGCATAAATACTGGTGTCACCGATACTAAAACACCTAAAAAGCAGGAAACCCCTGTGAGGAAGACTGACATTCAACAGTTTGACTTGCACAATATTGCTGGAGTTATCTGTATCGATGATATGACTGATGATGAGTCCGACAAATCGTCAACTCATAGTGGCTTTGTTGAAGTGACATCCCGTCGTACACAGAAAGAGAACAAAGATAGACAGCGTGAAGAGGAAGAGAGAAGAAAAAAAGTGGACGAACAAAACAGGCAACGTGGCAGTCAAATGGGAAACAAGAAGAACCAATCTTCCAAGCCTCCTAGGTTCAGTAAGCAGCATACATCACAAGTTAATACACAGAGCAAATCTCCGGGAGTAATTGGCAAAGCGACATCCACAGCTGTGTCAGAAACAGCCATTGGAACTGCTATCACAGGATCCAACAGCAATCCGTCAAGTGCAAATTCCACCAAGCGTAATAGCCCAGTTAATGTTGAGAGGCCAGTATCACCTCCTCCTCCTCCTCCAGTTTTCAATGCATGGGACAAACCTCTACTTCTCACTCCAGCTAAACCACCAAGCGCTTCACCACCAGTGACCTCTTCGATTCCCGATCCTCTGGCAGTTGGAAGTGGAAAGCCTTCCTCTACACGAGTTGTCCAACCAGTGAGCACGACTTTTTTTTCTATTTGTCTATTAGTTTCGTGTTTTGTTGTATAGTTCAGTGCTGTGGATGCTCAGCTAAAGCGTCTTAAATGTCATACAGCAAAAAAACAAACAAACAAGCAAATAAAACGAAACAAAATTACAAATACAAGACAGGAAAAGCATCGAGCGCTTATGGTTTCCCCAGTAAATTTGTTTTTAGAGGTATTTTGATCTAACGTGGTCATTTGTCGATTCAAAGGTTTTTCCATTGTCTTTCGATATTTGAGCTACGGTTTGCAATGACCTTTGTGTTTTTTCCTTTTTTGTTTACAGCAGGGAACAGTCATTTCTTCGGCTGCCTCGTTGATTGAAGACATCAGTGTAGATGACGACTACCTAGCCATGACCAAAGAGATTGCTTTACTGGCACCTCCAGAGGAACCAGAAGAGAGTGAAGAACCAGCCCACATTACTCAAAACACAAAGCTCGAAAAACGAGATCAGACAATGGAAAAGGGTGCAAAAGTTGCTGGTCCCTCAGAGAAACGATCGCAGGCTAAACCTCAGCGAGACAAGCCTCCAAGATTTGACCGTAGTAGCAAGCGAAAAGCTGCCTCGGGCGCAGAGGACGCAAAGAAAGAATGGTCTAGTAATACTAAGGGTAGGAAAAGCAGTCGTGACGACACAGTTCCTCAGAAACTTACGAAGGGATCAGCGGTGAGAACAGTTTTTGTAACGGCAAATTCTATTATTCCAACGTTCTAGTCTACATGCTTGATCATTTACTCTATTCTCTTGTTTTCGTTTTGCTTCTTCAGGACAACACTGCGAAAGGAAAAACTGGCACTCTATCGAGTAAAAAGCAGCAGTCAGCTTCAACTGGAGATGAAGTTGCAAATGATAGGGACACTTCAAAAGGGGAGCAAGAATCTGCAGAATATATTTCTGCAGGCAGGAATGTTGGAACGACTGTTTCAGATGAAGGCAGCGATGGAAAAGATGATATAAAGGTACATGAGAAGGCGTATATGATGGCTGCCATTCACTCTATTTATTATTATTTTAGTGTGCAATTGAACGAAATACAATTATATCTTTTTTCCAACGCTGGTTGATTGCTGACTGAACCATAAAATTCAACATGTCAGTTAAATATAGACTTTTCGATCATCAAATAGCTAAGTGCAAGATGACACGCCTTGATACAAATATCTATAGAACTGCCTATACACTCTCTACACAATGCCCCATCTGTAGTGGCTGTTTTCGTTTACTTATGAGCGCTTTAACACTTACTTGAGGTTCGTTCTGGCTCTCTTATCTTTCAGCTTATTCAATTGTTTTGTTTCTTAAAAGGAGGAAGAAGCGAAAAATGACTCTGGAAGTGAATCAAGTAGAAAGGATTCCGAACTTGACCTGAATGTTGATTCAGGCGACAGAAACGATGACAATGAACACCTCTTTGGTACAGAAACCCTATCAGTGGACATTCACGAGAGACCAACGGCCGAAAGACCAGACAGGGAGCCATCTCCAGTATCACCCGCTATTTTTGAAATGAGTAAAAAAATGGAAGCATCAAGAAAACTTTGGGATAGCGGAATCGCTATCGGGCGCTCAAGCAATCATGGGGGTGCGTGGGAGGAGACCTTGCGCACTCCAGCAAGCGTTGGTTCTTCAATTGTGGGCATGTCAGTCGTAGAGTCAGCCGAGTCGAGGTTAAGTGATGACCAAGTCGCAGTTAAGAAACCACAAGTTGAATTGGAAGCTAATACTAGTAAGAACGACTCAAAGTCACCTGATGGGTTAAACTTCGCAAAGAAATCAGGATCTGGAGAACAGCAAAATGTTTGTAAGGTTAAGCCCCAGCAGCAGCAACAGCAGCCCGTGAAAACACAACAGTCATCATCTATTGTCTCTCAGCCTGCGGAAGAGAACCACCAAACAGAATTAAATACAGTTTCTTTAGTTCCCCCTTTACTCTCACAAGAACTATTGACTCAACAAGCAATGCAACACCGCTACGCAATTCCTCTTGTCGGTGCCTTCGTGGATGCGCCTCAGAGACAGCCATTCCTGCAGCAACAGCAGCTTCAGCAGCTTCAACAAACTAATCAACAGGTGACACCTACCTTTTCCCTTACACATGTGCAGCAGGTCAATCAGGCACGTTCATCTTCTTCGCCGTTGTCCCAGGCTACTCAGGACATGTATCAGTCGCCATTCCTCCCTGGCGGTGTTTATTCAGGAAATTTCCAGGGTTCGCAGCCGTATGTATCTATTGGCCTGTTACCCTCTACTGCAACTCAGTCATTTGTGACCTCTTCTCCGAGGACCCAGACAACGTCTCTGATTGGAATTCAGGCTCAACAGCCAAAGCCTGGAACTGGATCCGTCTTTGCCCAGAATGTCACTCAGCAAGGCACGCAGACCATGTTTATGCAGTACGATCCGAAAACGTTGCGAGGAGGAACTCCTTTGTTCAATATAGCTCAGCATCCCCAGTCTGCCCAGAGACAGCTGTTAGGAACTCAGCCGGGGGTCGTTGGAGAAAACTTGTCACGACAGAGTGGCTTTCCAGCAGGACAACCGACACCTCAACCATTCCAAGGAACGTACCCTTTTCAGCAGAAACAAGGGACATACGATGTTTCACAGGATATGCAAATGAAGAAAACAGCTGAACAAAGTACAGATTTCACGCGGCAATCAGAGCTAGTCAAACACGTAAACGCAAAACCTTTTGAACCTCCAAAGAGATCAACCCCTGGTTCTGTGCCACCCAGCAGTGCTTCAATAGGTCCTTTGATGTCATCAACATTTGCCCGAAATCCGAACTTGATGACAATCACTCCGAGCCCTACAGACATAGGGGGATCATCTCAGAGTCCTCCTGTGTCAACAACATTGTTGTCGGGAAGGCAGGTGTCCATGTCACCCGTTGAACCAGGTATCCCCTTCCATGGTGCCGTCGGAACTTTTCCGAAGCACACTATAAACCAGTTTCAGTTGCAACAGCAGCCTCAAGGTGTACAGCCTCAGCAGTTCACGCCATTCCAACAACAGCCCGTCAGTTTGCAGCAGACTATTCAAGTTAGAGCACAAGGCCAGCAACAGCAGCAAGGCGGAAATCCGTTACAAGGTGCTGGAACTGCCATCCTGCCAAACCCTGCTGTCATAGCTGCAGCCATGCCAAGGCAACTTATTCGGGCTCCAAGCCTTGGTCCTATAGGCATAGGTGGAGCACAGCCAAGTGCTACGAACACTCAGCGCTTCCCTGCTCCGATCCAGCGCCCTGTGACAGCGTCTTTAATGCATGGTGTGCCTCACATACAAGCTCCGCGAGGACCCCGGGCGCAAACTGCACCGCCGCCACCACCTCAAATGATGTCTGCAAAGCAACAGATTGTGACAAATAGACCTCATTTGCCCCCACAATCTTTACCTCATCCGCCCCCACAATCTTTACCTCATCCGGAAGCAGTGGCGGCTGCCTTTAAGATAGAACAGCATCACAAGATGTTGGAACAAACCAAAATGTTCTTTGCTCAACAACAAGGACCACAGCAACGAGTCCCTCTGCTGAGCAATCAAGTTGATCCGCAAGTTAAACCTATCGGCAGTTTTCAAGGAGACAAACCAATTGTGAGGGGACAAGTACCCAGAGAAAATCTAAAATTTCAAGAGAAAAAGGAAGAGGCGAAGTCCCATATTTCGGAAACCAACCAAAGAAACAGAAAACCCAATTTAGAGCAGCCTAGCAAGACGTCGAAGACAACCAAAGTAGATTCAAAGCCAGAAGAAAGCAGCAAAGACAAAACTAACACGTCAAAACAGGATGGTAAAGGCCCTGGTAACAAGAGCAGCAGCCTCGTTCGTATTCCGCCCCTACCTATGGCACCCAGAAACGTGCCGAAGAGGGCCCGTGCCCCCCCACGAATGCCAGGTTCTCAGCCAGTTTCCAAACCAAGAATCTCTGGACGTTCAGAGAAAGAAATCAAAGATACAGTTCAGGACCAGCCTTCTGAAACTCCAAGCCGCAAGAGTTCAGATCAGGCTAAACCATCCGAGGCACAACCCGTGGCCCCACTAAGCGTCAACAAGTAACTAATTTGAACTTTTAAAATACCGAATTTCCGGTGATTTTATTTGTCTGTCCACAAAAACTTACTTTTGTGGTGCCAACCACAAACTAGGGAGAAAGTATACTATCATACGCATGATTTTTCATTTCAAGTGTATGTAGTCTTAGTGTCGCGAAAAGTTTTCCAGTCGGAAATGCTTTCCTTGTCATTTATTCGTAATTATTATTCCTTTCATTGCCGCAACACTGTAAATTAGTCCCAGGAATGTTTGTACAGAGGTTTGCGACGAGTTAATTTATTATTGTTAGGCTTCTTTGCGTAAAGGAGGTGAGATAATTCACCACTGAAGTTTCAGCATTTTTGTGATAATCATAAGAATAAAACAATTCAAGGAGGTACTACTGTGGCATGGTTGATGCGTATGTACTAAGGTGTTCGGTTTCGTTTGTTTGTGCTTTTGTAAAGCCTGAACATTCAAGCTAAAGGCCAAAGAAATTCGGCAATAGCTAAAAGACAAACTGTGACAATTAGCACACAACGACCTATTTACAAAACAAAGAGATTATCTGCTGCCATTCGTAAGGTTCTTTTCAAAAGTCTAGAGGATAACCCAACGTTTTAGAATACGGGTAGAGCTCAAAATAAGGGAATCTGCTTTTGAGATCAGGAAGAAATCTGGGGTTACACCGGTTTTGTCTTACTGTGCCCTCTGATGTGCACGGGAACTCGCCCCACCACCTCTCAAATGCGAAACTTAAATGAATCGCGACTTTGTCATTCACTTTTCTCGCGCCTGAGTGTAACTTCTTTTTTATGCCGTGAGTCTTTATCAGTGCCTTGCCATACCTAAGGGTTATTGATCTATGAGAGTGCCGGTATCCCAGCGGATATGGGACCCCCCCCCCCCCCCGGTTCAAATCCACTCGCGGATTTGGACCCCCCCTCCGCGGATTTGGACCCCCCAACAAAACTGAGTGAAAACATCATCCTCAACGTTCTAGTAAAAATGGATGATACTTTACGTTCCAGTGCGTACTGAAGTATGTTTTTAATTCAAAACATGCGTATCGTTAATGCGTACGAACTGGCATCCTATCGGATGTTTATTTGGACCAAGGGAAATGGGTAAGAATTTAGTTTAATGCCTGGAGAGAGGTCGTTTTGAACCTTTTCCGCGATGGTCAAACACCGCTAGATTCAATAAGATTTATTTTGTCACTGTTCAATGCTCGAGTGTTGAGACGACATGGTACAGTGCGAGTTGTGCGGGGAAAGGTTACATATGAGCTGCGAGGGATTTAAGACTGCCCCGGAGGACGAGTGGCTCTGCATTGTCTGCAGATTGCCAGACTCTAGACGTCTTCGTAATTGTTTAAGTGTTATTTCGGTCCCTCAATAGTTAACAATCGTTAAAATTAGAAAATAAGATTGAGTTCGATATAATAGTCTCCACTTTTGTTAAGACGTTGATATTAATGTTGATTTGCATCTGAAAATAAGCTGAGAGTTCCAATAGTTCAGAATAGAAACATTTTTACTTATCATAGGCTTTACGAACGACTTGTAATACGAGTAGTTTTTTCGTTATTGTTCAAAAACTGTTTAATGTTATTATTTTAGAAAATCAGACTGAGTTATTTCCGTGACTGGACGCAATAGTCTCCACTATTGTTATGACGTTTCGTACCAATGTTGATTCGCATCAGAAGAAGCAAAGATTTATTGTAACAATTTCAATAGTTCGAATGCAGTAGTTTGTTCACATCTAATTCTTGCGTATACGGTACGACTCGCTATAATTAATGCGGTAGAATTGGAACGAAATGGCTGTTTTTTTTTACCTTTATTGAGGAAATGTTGTGTTGTGATTGAAAAGAACATCGACAAAAAAGCTTGCAAATAGAATTAGTTACCAAATATGATACAAAGGATGCTTAAAAGGAAAGTTTGGACCGGGGGGGTCCAAATCCGCTGTGACACCGGTCTTCAATTAAAAGGAAAAGGAAATTTAAAACCAAACGCATTGCATGCACTTGTGATATGGATTTTTCCTCTATTTGAGAATTGGAAGGTGATGTCGACATTTTTATCTTTTAATGTAATTCTGTTCATATGTTTGTACCTTGGACATATTTACTTACGACTGCGGTAACGAAAAAAGAAAATGAAAAGTAAGAACTAAAAGAGGATGAAAAATCGACCACGATGGGAGTCGAACCCACAATCTTCCGATCCGAAGTCGGACGCCTTATCCATTAGGCCACGCGGCCACCTACACAATTGAGAAGCGATAAATAGTTATTTATTTATCAGCAAGTTTGATGGTCAGCGGTAGTTTTTAATATCGTCCACCTCAAATTTATTTCAATTACGTTACTTTTAGCCTCTGATGATAATGAACCTCTCGAATACTTTTACATTTCGAGTGTCCTGTTATATATACATATATTTTTGCTTTGATTTCACAGGATTACGGCGAAATTAATCGTCTTAACGGGTGGGATACAAGTCGTGAATTAAATAACATAGAATTCTCTTCACTGAGCTTAAGAGACTTGAGAGGTCATGAAGTTTTCCGTGCGCCAGAAGTCTGAGGGAACCAGATTTGGTGTTCTTAGCATAGAGAATCACGAAATCCAGACTCCTTGCTGTTCACTGTACTCTCGTGGAGGCGTAGTACCTCACCTTACCACGGATGTTTTAGACTCAATGGGAAGTGTACCATCCATTTTCCATTTATCTCTTCAAACCACGTGAGTACGGTAAGCTCAGTGTAAGTTCCCTAATTGGATCGAACCTATAATATGCGTTGAAGATAGGGCTGTGATGAATTTTACACTCGAAAAAAATTACCACATTGCTTTATTTGGACAACAAGGTCAGTTTGTCGAGATGAAATCAAGCTCCGTTTTGAAAACCTGACTGCTTTTTTACATGAGCTTGGTCAAGCTTGCAAGATTTCACCTCATGCCTCTATGCTGTTCTCTTTCCTCTTTTACAAATTTCGGTGTATTCACCTCAGATCGTGGGCCATCCTTGCAACCCAGTTAGAGCTCGAAAATACTCCATTGAATGCTTTGTGACCCCTAACACCCTAACATCAGTCATCAGTATCCATATTTTCCATACTTTTCTCTCTACATTAAGTTTTTCTTTGGTGCTGACCAGGAGAATTTGTTCAACACGCAAAGCTTCTGAGGTTGGTGATCATTCCCTTAATTCTCGTGATCTTAATGAATGATTCAGAAGTATTACTGTAAGGAGAAACTATATGCTGGTCACTCTTAGAGTATAAAGTGTTAAGCATGGTAATTAAGAGGCATGGTAAGTACACTGAGTTTGCAAGGTGGGTGATGATTTAAGATTTGGTTTGGATCTTTTATAGGATTGATCAACCAGGTATTGAGACCATTAACCAGTCTAACTACAATGGAATAAAACCATTCTTAGGATTGGAAGTGAGTGAAATAACATTACAGTCAACTCTCTCATAAGCAGACACCTTTGGGAATTGGAAAAAGTGTCCATTAGTAAAACTGTCAGCCTACAGGAGTTATTCTCAGAAGCAGACACCAGAAAAAAAAATAGTCAGATCTCAGAACTGGAAGTCAGAACCTTGTCAATATCAAATGATCAGACAGCTTGTTCTCCCATGGATAAATGGAAATTTGATAAAACCAATCCCACTGTTCTGTTGCTCTTTCAAAGATCATATCTTTGTTCATTTGCAAGCACTAGCCAAATTTTATTGCCAATGGTCAATTATTGTACAAAGGAGTGTCTGCTTACAACTTACAAGAGTGCATAAACTGAAGAACACTCCAATTTCCTCTTTAAAAAGTGTCAGCATCCACTTAAAGATAGTGTCCACCTACAGGAATGAATAAATGTAGAGCAGGACTATGAGGCAAAAATTAGAATTGGAAAAAGTGTTTGTAGGAAGAACTGTCATCTTATGAGACTGAATCTTTTATGACCAGTGCCTTTGAGGTGACAAACCAACAAAAGTGGGAAAAAATGAACAAAATTTTAGTTTTGGTTGAGCTTCATCTATGTGATTTATTTTTCTTGACACTTCTCACTCCCAATATTTCATCAGTGTCTTACTGTCTTCTATGCAATTTTTATGAAGTTTAGTTAGTATAGAGAATTTGGCTTTGGATCAATTAATTGATGCTTTTCTTTATTCTTATTACTTGTCTGCTTGATATGGTATCAGTACTGTAAAGAGAAATTCTATCTTGATCACTTATGGGACTTAAAAAGTGATGATTCTTCAAGGAAGATTTTTTAATTCAGTGGAACTTATGATCAGCTGTCAAAGTAGATAAGATTTCCTGATTGCCTCTTAGTTTTTTCTCCTTAGGAGTATGCTTTGACTCCATGTACTCAACTTAACCTGATATTCAAACATATCATAATGTACCAGTGACACCATTGTTCTTTTCCTTTTTTAATTTTTTTAATTGTTATATTTTATTTATAGAAAACACTTTACTATAAAATAGAACATACAGTACAGTAGATACCATGTAAGAGGAAAATTACAGCTCTTTTGAGACTACAATCAATAAACAAACAATTTAATTCTAAGTGCTACTGATAAGAAATTTTAAAATCATGAGAACATCAACATCAAGTAAATACATGAATTTGTCCTATTGAGACGGTGGTGACAAAATTTATGGGACAAAATCTTTTAACATAAGGTGTTTCCCTTTGTTGTTAAAGAGCTTAGCAGTTTTGTTTTTTATTGCAATGTATCTTTCAGTCATTATGTTTTCTCGTAGTTGTATCTTAAACAGTGAAAAGAGTAGAGATATTTCATCCAAATTACATTTGTAAATGAAGTACATTGTTCTTTTCAGGGATTCATTACTTACTTATCAATTCAAGATCCTGGTCAAGAAGTGCGTCAAGGCTACAATGAGGAAAAGTCTGTGTCAGTGTGGACACCAGGTGGCCGCAAAAAGGTGCTTAACCCTTTACACCTTAATATCAGAATGCATATTCTCAATACTTTTTTTAGTACATTTCTTACAGTTCTGACAAGGAGAATTTGTGTAACAATCTAGAGCTTCTATCATTGGTGATCATTTCCTTTTTTCTTGTGACCTTTGTCTGATTTTAGGGGTGATATTGTAAGGAGAAATTACATGCTAATCACTCTTAGGGGTTAAAGGGTTAATCAGACATTATCAATTCAGAATTTTTTATTACAGTGATGCACATCATGAACTGTCAAGCCTAAAACTGTCAAGATAAATAGAGGA